AATACATCCTTAAATGAAGTACATCCATACACGTATTTAAATTAAAAAGAAGTGGAAATCGTCTTCTTCCAAAACCTTTGTGTACGGATAAAAAAACTAAGTTTAAGTAAATTTTTGAACTTTTATTTACATTCAATTGCGAAATAAAATTACATGAATAATTTTTAATACGAAGGTTAAAAACGCTTTGATTTTAAAACGTAAAATGAAGCTACATCCACGCCGGATCGAGCATTGAAAAAGCAAGGCATGGATTTATTACTAATTTCAAGTCTTGTCTTTTACGAGAAATGAACACAACCAAAAACGGGTCGACATTCATTATCCCAAGTTGTACATCGATTTCTTAACCGAAATTCCTTGCGATACGAACGGGTGAGGGGTAGAACAATGAGGAGATGAGGATACGTGCTACTAACTTGGTCCCATCGCATCTGAACGCCCATTGTACTAATAGCCACTAACAATACTTCCGTTCCTCCTTTCTCTTTCACAATTACTGTCTCACGATTCCTCGCAGAAGATCTCGTTTAGATACGAGGTATCAAAGCGCCTCTTAGACGCGTTCAGATCGAAAAATTGTTGAAAGCGCACAAGCCGGAAACTTTGATTACACGGCTACGTTTCCACGATTCGAAATTATTTAATTATGGATAAGAGGAACGCGTTGGCGTGCGGCGCTACAGAATAGATCGTTTCGGAACGATAGAAAGGAGCGATAGAGCGGATTCCTCCGCGTGGACTGCGTCCAGGAATATTACTTTCGAGGGGAGTAAATGAAATTCAAACTTTTGCAGTTCCCCTCACCTACGTTCGGGTTAACGTCCAAGGAACTTGCCCGTGCACGGCGGCTGTTAAGACCGCGACAAGGAAAGTGCAGAGATTGCATTCGAGAAAATTGCCGCGCGTTTCGCTGGCAACGAATATAAATCCGTGGGCGTGACGCGTTAATTGAAAAATGGATATGGAAAAATAGGTGGGACGCAGGAAACTATGAAAATGATTGTTTCGGATTTTCCATATACAAAATCATTAACTGCGAACGGGAACGGCTCAGAAATATTGCGGTAATTATACTAATTGTACAAATACGCGAAATCGTATAAAATTTTAATTAAAAGCAGTCTTATAAATTATAGTGATTATTATCAGCAGAATTTAGAATTAAAAATGAACAGGTTTACTAGGTTTCCTGGTTGCATGTTAGAACATATTTTTTATAACAGACAGAGGAGTCATATTATATACTGAGAATTTATATGAAAAATTAGTTGAAAAATACGGTTTACCTCGTAGGATGTTTTTCTCACTGACTCATTAATTCCAGGGTCGGTGCTCGTCAGAGCAACGATACGTTAACAATGCCAGGGAATCAGACAATGGCAGCTTCTCAGAGGAAGTGAATTGTTTATCGAATGGATATAACGATGTCGCGGATGGGGGAGTAAATAACCAAGGAGGAGCAACACGTTAATTGCTGTTTGCCCGCTCAGCATCCGAGCTCTCAGCGATACGTATTTTCTCGTCTATAGCATCCTCGAGAAGGATAATAAAGTCTAGCTAGGTTCGATTTTTAATCGTAATCGAAACGGATCTTTTAGTCTGGAATTGGCTTTCTTCAGGATTTCTGCATCGCTGACGCGTCGACGTTTGTTCTGAACGAAACAACACTCCTCTATTTTTTCATTTATTCCCTTTGCAATTTAATTGTAGATCTACAGAATAAATTATGTTTTTTAATGACAGGAATTTTACAAACGATTAAGGAAACACGTATAGATGTAATATTTCATAGATAAGTATGATATGAAGAGAGATCATGAAATTCATAGAATCTGGAGTGTATAGCACCCTTGACATAGAGAAACGGTAACAATGCATCTTTTAGGAGCGCGGGCCAGCTTATCGGGACTCCGTCTGCGATAAACTGCAATCTACTTCCTTCCCCTGTGTTCTTTGACACTGCCGGACGCCCTCTTCCGTTCGAGAACTTGCTCAACGAGCGCGTTCGATGAATTCGAACGAAAATCTTGCAAAAATCTACCCAAAAGTAACGACTCCTTTGAAAACATCATTGACCGAATATCGAGTGAAGCTAGTTTTGTGGTAAATTGGAAGAGCCAGTGATCAATCATGGAAGCTGAAGTCGCATGATGGAAAAGGAGCCAGAACGAATTATCAGTTTCCTAGATCTGTCGAGAAAGCAGAATTTATGGTCCTAAGAATATGAATTTATTTCACTTGTTTAAACAATGACGTAACGTTTCGTTGGAAGATGAAAGGGTCATTAGAGAAGTGTACTGATCGTTCGTAATTGATGAATGACTCTTATTTAACACTAGATTGCCGGGATGAGTCAATTTGAATCATTTACGATTTTATTGCTGTATATATAATAAAACTTGAACAATTTTTTTTAAATTATGTTGATTTTTAATAAAATTATGAAATGTATACAAATACTAATTCTTTTCTCTCCCTACTCTTTAGTTCTAAAAATCCATACGTGCCATACCTATTTTGACCGATGTGAGTCAAATCGGCTCATTAAATATTTGTAAAGTCGGTCGTTTTACGCATATATTCCATATATTGAAACCGAAAGTGAATTAGACACTGTAGATAGATTTGATAATGAAGAAATTTCAACATAAAAAGCTGCTGATGGGATATTATGGGAAACATATACAGAGTATTGAAAAACGGTTGAATTGTCAAGTTCAAGTATCATGCAAAGAAAATACAAGTAAGAGCGTCTGTGCTAAATGTAATAAAAAATCTTCGTAAAAATGGTTTTGAATAAAGTTTCTTTAAAATAAAATTATATTTTTTTAAAGAATTTCAGTTTTAATGTTTAAGTCAAATTGACTCATTTCAGGCAAAATATAGAGTATATACCGAACACTCGGCAATCTAGTGTTAACACGTTTGAACAATTATCGTAATCGATAGTTTTTCTTCAAACGTTACCCTTTTATATTAACTCTCTACTCATTTCTAGTGAAAGAAACTGCTTGTGGAACTGGCTGGAAAATGTCCATGAGCGTTCTACTTATGGTTATGCAACCTTCCATGCGTGGAGGTTCACCTCGCAAGGACGCACGTGCGTCCGTCCCGTTCTCTGCCGCTCGAATACCATCGAGACCGACTCTACCATATTCGAGTGCGAGACAGCGTTCATCGTGTTTTTCCAAGAATGAGAAAGAATTGTTCTTTTACGGCGCGAGAACAGCCATTTTTGCCGTAACACGACTAACCGTGTTCTGTGATATACTCGTGAATACATAGTGACTTCGGAGAATCGAGCGCTTTTATCTAAAAGATTCCGCACGCGTTCCTCGTTGAGGATTAAGTTCTAAATAAAAGAGTTATTCTCTTCGTCGTGAATATAAAATACCGATAGGATTTATAAATAATTCTTTTTGGTCATGATAAATAATACAAAATAAAATTAAGTTTGAATCTGAGCGTACAAAAAGCGACATGAATATTTAGTAATCTATAGGAAATATTAAAATCCGAAGTAAAAAAAAGTCAAGGCAAAAGTGGCTGTCTCTAAACCGAAGAGACAACATTATGCATTACCTGTATTTTAAACGTTCCCCACGCGAGATCGAGATTTGTGGATTCCTCGACAGAACGATAATTCCCTTACATAAATCAAAGTTAAATTCTAATCAGTTGGTTTACACTAATTGGATTAGTGCAACTAATGTAATCACCGGTGAATTAATTAGTAAATAAATCGTTATTATTCATTTATAAATCTTTTTTTCTTAGTAATAAATTTATCTACAATTATCTTTAAGGTTCTTCGAGATTCGAAAAACAAGAATCGCGCGGTTATGGATTGAACTGAAAATAACCAGCGTAAAACTCGTGTTTATTGCGCCAAGTAAAACGAATCGATCGCGCGTTACCGGCCGAGCCTGCGGATTGGACCAAAAGCGTCCCCTGTTCGAAACTTAACCTGCGCGACTTTCCCTCGCACTTTTTCTCACACGATTAACACGTCCCACAGTCAACACGGTTGACGACTCCTTACAAGTCCTTCGACAACGTCTGCCGCCCACGCGACCGACTGTTGTTATAACTGGGAATTCCTTTTATCAAACCTCTTCATGTTTGTTTTCTATCGCCGGCACCTTTTCGCCCCTTAACCGTAGCTTCCCTCGCACACACGGCACCGACACTGGACGCTGTTTCACTTATACGACGTATCCTCACGACGAGCAGTTACATTTTGTTCGACGACCGTTTTTAACCACGAGTTCTTGCGGGTAAACACTGGCTAGGCTTGGCCATGGTCAGAGAGCCGCTACGACGATGTGGCATTGCTGACGGGTACACATGGAACGCGACCCTCCACCGACCGTGTGCCGAGCAAACAGCTGCCGTCTATCCCCCACCAGACGGACGCCCCCGTTGCGTCGTTCCAGCAATGAACCTTTCGCCTTCCTTCCACGAGCCTGCGACTTTTATCAATGAACTTCTTGTACGCTCGTTTTTGACTGTCAAGCATTTCCTTGTGCCAAACTCAGTGACTACAGGGAAATTAAACACGATCTACATTTTCATATTATTCACCCTTAAATCTGCTGTTCCAC